GTTAACAAAACCACTATTAACAACTGGTCTTATTGGTTTTATGCAAAGAAACCTTATGTCTTCACTCACTCCTTCAGAACGCCAAATTCTGGAGGGATCAGGTAGGGAGAAAAATACAAAGCCTGAAGGAAAATCCTTTCCCTTCTGATATCCACCGAGCTTCTCAAAACCTTCACTTCCAGACATTCTGCAACACTCAAAAACCCTCTATTCTTTCTTTCATACAACTTCTGATATCCACCAACATTGCATCTCCATGCCTTATGCCTTCTATTGTTAACTAACACTATGTAATTCCTTTCTAAAACTTTTACTTTTCCATTTATTTTTGTAGTTTCCCACAGACCTTCTTCATTTATATATATTATATTTTTTATTTACTTTCCTACAGAGTGTGAAGTTTCAACCTTCCCTGGAATCCTCAATTTCCTTTTTAGAGCAGATACAGAGCCAATTCCAAAACACAGAGTTCCAGAACAATAAACAGGTGAGGGCATTCTCTTGCACCAATGTGTCCATCGGTGCCTCGCAGAGACATGCTCCTTTAGGCCCGGTCTAATGGCAGAGACATGCTGCTTTGCCTCTGGCTGAAGCACTCATCAGCCCCAAATGACCCTTCCTGGGTCCCAAGTGGCAAAGGCATTCTCCAAGACTGGTTACAGGTGACCTTAAACAGGTCTTTAAGTACAGAGGGTTTCTGATCAGAAACAACACCAATGTTAGAAATTTGCTCTTTTCCCACAAAACCAGAAAACAAATAGTTGAGGTTTCCTTTACTCCAGGTTTAAAACTTTACATTCTTTATACATAATTTTACTCATTCAGATTTAACCATCATTCTCTTTTAATCCTGGTTCCTTTCCCACTTTGGGAAGGGCTATACTTAAACTCAGCATGTGGCAGCTGAAAGTCCCTGGCAATGCAGGTCCCTTCCATTAAAATTCCCTAGATTTGCAGGGACATCCTACAATTTTCTGAAGCTCAGACCCTGCAAACACCCTATAGATCAGATGCTCACCCTTGGACCTCAGTTCATGTCCTTCAGAAACAGAGCCATTCTTATCAGAACCAGTTACACAGAGAACCAGACTGATGCAGTGCCCACACAGCAGCAACATATGGCCTATAATCTGAAGAGAGCCCTTAGCCTGGCACCTTGCCCAGTTCCAAGATGGAGGGGCTCTCATGTGACCCATCATATAAGATGGGGACAACAATGCACGGTCCACCCTCCACGGTGGGGCACTCACGTGGCTCATCCTCCATTTTACCCAAAATGGCAACGTACCCACATGGCTTGCTGTCCAATCTCAAACATGCATGCAATATAGTACTGTGGCAGGACCCCCCCCCCCCCCGCCCCGCCATGATGAATTCTCCCGATCGGCGCTGACAGACAAGGGAAGGAACTCTCAGGTCACCCACCTGGCCTCGCCCCTCTCGGGGCACTTAGATTCCCTCTTAGCTAAGGCTGCCCGTGTAGAATTCAGGTTAAACTCCCAGCCGTTATGCCGTATGATAGACCAAGGAACCACAGGTTAGGGCTCACTCACACTCTGTAGGCTTCCACCCGTGGAGCAACAAACACAGTCATTCACAGAAACACACCGAGTTTATTATGTTCCCACCCGCCCGAACTGTGGGAGCCCTGCCTGGGCCTTCTGGCCTGAGGGGTGATCAGTCCCTCCTTCCACTCCAAGAGTGGGCCTGGTTTTCGGGCTCCTAGTCCCCAGGGGGCACTTACCAGATTCCAGATTGGCACCTTCCCAGATACCACCAGTTCGCACCCTACCAGCCTGGGGCAAAGAGCAGTCCAGGGGCTGAGCCTGTGGAACCCGGGATGTTCAGGACCTGAAATCGCCTGGGCACATGCCTCCTTATCACCACCAGGCCGCACCAGCCACCCCAATGCTGCCTTTACCAGAAGCAACAGCCTGCTCCTGTGAGTCGCTTCCCGGTCAGGGAACCAAAATGTTACGGAAAAGACGACTCAGAAGGCCTCAGAGTTTGCGAAGTGGGGTTTATTCATGCATGCGGACCCAGAGGAGATAAAAAACCCAGATTCTGGGCAATGAGCTTAAGCTGGGGCTTCCTTATATGTTTGTTACACAGGCAGAAAGAGGAGGGGAAGGAGTGTAGCTGCTAAAAGGGGGTTAGTGTACAACCTTGAGATAACTGCTTATCTGGGAATGGCTGCTGTCTGGGAACAGCTGCTGGTCAGCTCCTACCTAAGAATAGCTACTGCTCAGCTATTTCCTGTCACACAGATATTTATTTGTACATTTTGATGCTAAAGATAATCTGGTGACTAGGTTTAAAATGTATTCATAAATGCCTTTTCTGATATTTTATCATTATGTTTTCTTGTTCAGGGCTGGTGGGCAACAACAGCCTCTTCATAAATGTCCAAAATAATTCTGACCAAACCAAGCCTGAACCAGTAACTGGTGCATTGGACCAACCCAAAAAACCCCTAATATGGGCTGCTGGCAGCAGTAAAGGAAGCCATCTACTGCCTCTTCTCAGATGCATTTCATCTTCCCACAAAGTTCTCACACCCAGGTCCAGAAAAGAGCTGCCAATCCCAAATGCTTGGGGAGAGAATGAGTTTTTCCATTTCTAAACTTGAATCATGGAATACAAACAGCACTAGCAGTGAGACAGCACTAGCATATGCAAAGCCCTTAGCTTCAGTTCCCATGCTGAGTTGAGCTGCCTGCTGTCTTCATGACCTCAGCACCACCCAAAGAACTGTTGAAAGCTGTTGTCATCTCAGATGGGCTCTTCCGTTAAACAACAGTCTTTGAAAAACAGCATTCACAGAGCATCTGGAGCTAGGAGGGAGGGCAGGTTAGCAGGCAAAGAATGTGAATTCATAAAACTGCATTTGTTCCTGAGGTCAGCATCCAAAAAAGAAACATGTTGACTTCTTACAAATCAAGAAAACTTAGTTCTGTTAACTGCTTCATAGCTTTTGTTGTAGATTGCATTTGCTCTGCATTTGATCAAAAGTGACAGTCCCACTCCTCCACATGCAAAAGTTGGTTCTGAATTGTTTTGATTGCCTAGGGAACAGTATATAAAATGACTTTCATGCTTCCTTATTTCATTCCTAATTCCCACGTGGCCAGCATTGTTAGGAAGAATTAGAGTTTTGTAGCAAATAGATGACAAGATATGCAGGTTCAAACCACACCCTCATCAGCTGAACACACCCACTCAAGAGTTGGATTTAGCTCGTCTCTTCAGGTGGACACAGCCAACCCTAGCAGTACTCCAAGCACAATAAAACTGCTGCAGGAGTGCCACTACCACCACACCCACGCTTGCACAGGCACACTCATACTACACACACCCACACATAGACATGCACATCCCAACAATCTCTCACTGCCCATCCTTATGGGCTCTTTCTCAATCCAAACTATACTTGCTTACTCTTTGACCCCAATTGGATTTTAAGATACTTTAATGTTTAGACTGAATATTTTTCTAAAATTACATTTCTGTCCCCGGATAGAGCCATCAGAAGAAAATGGCCCCATGGGACTGACTGGCCAGGTTTAGTTGCCACCAACATAAGGAACAGGCTGAATTCAGATGTGAACATTGAAATAATCCACAAAATAGAACAAAGACCACAGCCCTCCTCCATATAAGTGATGGTCATTGACACCTTAGTGAAAAAAAAAAAAAAACGTAAGGAAGAGAAAGACTAAACACCCAAACTAAACTTATTAAAACATCTTTAGAATCATTTTCACTTTATTTTCCTTGTTGACATAAGTTTCACCAGAAGCTTTCTGGAACCATGGCCTCTCCACCACAGTAAAAAAACTGCTCTCAATTTAGTTATTTTTGGGTTTGCTGCAATTGATCTCAAAATACAGAACAAAGGAAAGCCAATTAAAAAGGAGCCAAAGTTTCAAGAAAATAGCAAGACAGAGGTTATGCTTCCTATAATGGCAGCCAAGATAAAATTTCCTAAACTTTTTCTTGGTGTCTGTGAAAGAAGGAAGAGATCACAAACTCTCAGTTTTTGGCTGTGACCCATAGTGATAATCGTAATAGAATTTCCAAATCAAGGAAGGCTTGCAGGTAACCCTGTTTAACTTCCTATTTTAAAAGAGGAGAAAAATGAGATCCAGAAGACTGAAACAACTCACTTAAGGTCACTAAGGCAGTTCATGGCAAAACAGGGCTTAGAGCCTTGTTTTCTTGGCTCCTCTTCATGGACTTGCAGAATCCCACAGTTTGAGGAACTGCCGGGTCCAACCACTGTCACTGCACCTGCACCTGGTAAGGGACTAGTTTGCCCCTGAACTCTGACAGTGGGTGGGGGGAGTGTAAGATTGACTTCATCTCTTCCCAGGGCAGCGTGTCCTGACTTTGGACATCTCTGAATATTAAAAATGTCTTAGTTTCCAACCCCCAGTGCTCATGGTGTCAGCCCCTTTTGCAAGCTAATATCCATGCTTTGGATATACTTTGTCCTTGTTTTCTGAAATGCATGGCCCAAAGCTGAATGCCAATAATACCAAAATAGTTACACCATCCTGGAAAAGACAGGGTAATTCAACATTACAGGAGGAAACACCCTGTCATAATGAAGCCAAAGACAGACAAAGCAAACAGGTAAAGTCTGTCTTCTACCATAAACCCTGGGTTCTTTTTATACTTTATCCTGCTACTCAGCCACATTAACTTCACTCTTGGAGTACGAGTGAAGTTAATTTTTTGAACCCAGGTAAAGAGACTTGATATTAAATCTTTTAATATACCACTTTGTTACTCACCTTTCTGTCTCACCTATGCTGTGAAGCCCTTTTTAGGATCTTGACACAGAATATCCTTCCAGAAGCATTTATCCTGGGTTAGGACAAAAGCTGAGTGGTGTGGCTCAGCACAAGAATTGTCTCTTCAAGTCGCTGCTAGTCATCACATAGACCAGCCTTTACTGGATATAGTCACTGAACCTTTAAGTAATTGCTATCATACTGACCTCTAGGCCATATGCCTTCATTTTGTACACAAGGATAGCATCAGGAAAAACTGTGCCAAATGCTTTGCTGAGTACCCCACTGTGGCATCATTTCCTTGACCTACCAGTCCAGTGGCCCTGTCAAAAGAAACAATGGATTTGCTATAATGTAACTTGTACCTGTAGATCTAAGCTTATGCATTTACCATGATTGCCCTGCCACCCCAGCAAATATTGACAGGCATACCCTATGCCCTGATTAAAGTCTGAAGAGCAGTTAGCTAACTTAAAGGAGGGGGCTGTTTGTGACAGCACTGGAAACCACTAAGCTCTCTGGGCTCTGTCTACCCCATATCTCATCTGACATGTTTCCAAAGAGCTGCCTGCCCTTTTCTTTGTGGGCTCTCAGGAGGACAGAGGACAGGCAGAGAGTGGTTCAGTGCTACTGCCTAAGTGTGGTTCTGTAGGAGACTAGGCAGCTTGATCACTCCTCTCCTCCAACAAAGGATCCTCAGACCTTCCTTCATCTTCAGAGTTCCTTACCTGCTCCCCTGAAACAAGCCCCAGCTGCTGCCTGCCTCTGGGTCAGCTCCCAGCTACTTGCTGCCCTGTTCTTAATTCTTGCCCAGTCTCCACAGCTCTTAACAGGAAGCATTCACTCTCCAGTCTGTCTGCATGGGTTTTGTGAATTTATGTTGCAGAAGTAACATAGTAACAGAATAAAACATTCCAATCAAGCTAAAGATAAAAATGCATAGAGCCTTTCTTAGACCAATTAATGTGCCACTTGTCAGTTTGGATTCCAGAGAAAAATACCTCTCCCTCTTCATAGTGATATAAGAATCCCCTGTGTTTGCAAAACCACAAATCTCCCTGATCAGTATGCCATTTAAAATCATTACAAAGAGGTCAGTAATCTCTGCCTTCAACACAGAGGAGCTCCTTTTACATTTCTTCAGTGGTTTATTACATAAATATTATTTTTGTCATCATTCTTCAATGTGTAGGTGGGATCTCCAGTAGGCAGAGACAGTGATAAATGAATCTCCAGGTGCTACTGCTCTTTTAAAATTTTCTTTGACAAATAGTTATGAAGACTGAAGTCATTTTCGGAGGCAGCTATTAGGGCAGGCTTCTCCATTTCTTAAAGAAACACTGATGTGTTTGATAGCTATAGGACATGATCTGAAGGAGATAAAATATAATGTCCATATGTCAAATGCAATACTGTCAATTCTCTTCTCCATTCCAACAAATACTATTTGATGCTTAGAATGTGGACAGCATTGTACACACTGTGGATTTCGCAAAGCAGGACAACATGCACTGCTAATCTGACCCTTACAACATACGGTAAGCACGGAAGTGAATTCTCTCTAATTGTTTAAAAGACTCAAACCCTGAAAATTTGAGACTTAGTCAAGACTGCCAGGCTAATTAGCAGGAAGGTTAGGACTAGAACTCCAGTTTCTTTAACCCAAGACATAGACTCTTCAGGAGAAAAACAGTGATGTGTCCTTGGCTTGTCATGTAAGTACTCTGAATGCTGCTTTTCTTACCCTCTTTGAAATTAGCATTTGGAGCACTCCATCACACTGTAATCTCCTCAAGGGCAGAGGACACACGGGTCTTGCTCTCTGTCTTCATAGGACCTAATACAAACCCTGATAGATGATAAACTCTAGGTGAAAATGATAAATGAATGAGTAAATGAATGAATGGAAGGCATAAGAAGTCCTGCTTTAGGAAAGAAAACTATTTAACTTTGTGGGGCCCAGCATTTCAAAAACCTGTATAAGAGTCCATTTTAATTTGAATACCTGTAAACTGCCTTCCTGAGAAACGTCGTCTAGACGAGTGTGGCTTGTCTGCAGCCCCCCTCTAGATGTTGGGTGTCTGCTGCTGGGGAGATGAGGTTAAGGAAACCCAACAGATCTTTTCCTCTAGCCATTTCCAATTTTATATACAGCCCCAACGGACAATTCTCATACCTAAACATAAAGCTGGTTGCCTTTTTCTATTTACCAATTAACTTACAAAATGCAAATTTTCATTTCATTATTAGTCTACGAGAAAAAATAATTAGGAAAAAAAATTAGCTAGCACGCACGATGTCATAAGGACCTTCCAAATGGAGTCATGGAGTCATTGTACTTTTACAGAAGTGTCTGTAAGTGATACTGTTGCTGAAAGATATCAGCAGTGATGAAAGGTGTGTGATAGGAGCAGGGGAGTTGGCGCCCAGGAGCCACAGCCTTGAATGCCCCTCCCTGCCAAGATGCTGTAGAGCGTGACTGAAGAACACTATAGCCTCGCAGCTACCAGCTGCGAAGGGGGAAAGTGTCCTTTCCTCCTAAGTCACCAACTTAGTCTGACCTGTCATAACAAAATGCTACAGATAGGGTGGCTTACAAAAACAGACATTTATTTCTCCCAGTTCTAGCAGCTGGAAGTCCAAGATGATAGTGCAAGCAAAAGCAGTGTCTAGTGAGAGCTCTCCTCCTAGTTTGTAGGCTACCGTCTTCTTACTGTGTGCTCACATGGTCTTCCTTTCTCATTTCATAATCCAGTCCTATTAGATTGGGGCCCCACCCTCATGATCTCATTTTATTTTTAACATTTCTTCACATGTCTTATGTCCAAATACAGTCATATGCAGTTAGGGCTTCAACATGTAAATCTAAGGGAGATGAAAACATTCTGTCTATAACACTAGCCTGTGCTGGAACAGACACTACCAGCATAGACCTGCAATGCCAACTGTCTTGCAGTTATGAAACAGTCTGAGTTGAATGGGCTTGACACAAACTATGTGTGGTATTCCTAAAGGTAGTAACATCCAACCATGACTGAGCTCAGCAATAAGGAGTTGGGAGGGTATTTCACACTGCTACTCCACAGCTGACATACCTGGTCCCAAGAGCTGCATTGAAGTTCAGAAACAAACAGGAATAAAAATGCCACACCCCCCAAGACAACCCAAGTGTCTATCAATGAATGAATGGTTAAACAAAATGTGGTATATATGTACAATGAATATGTGATTCAGCCTTAAAAAGGAAAGAAATTTTAACATATGTGATATATATGATCCTTGAGAACATTATGCCCAACGAAATAAGCCAGTCCCAAAAGGACAGGATTCCTTAAAATGTAGGATTTCATTTACATAAAGTACCTAGATTAGTAGATTCATAGAGATGGAGAGTATAATGGTGGTTGCCACAGGCTGGAGGGAGGGGAAAGTAGGGACTTATTGTTTAATGTACTCTGAGTTTCAGTTTTGCAAGATTAAAAAAGTTCTAGATATCGATGGTGGTGATGGTTGCCCAACAATGTAAAAATACTTAACACTACTGAACTGCACCCTTAAAAATAGTTATGATAATGCCTGGCTGGCATAGCTCAGTGGATTGAGCGCAGGCTGTGAACCAAAGTGTCGCAGGTTCGATTCCCAGCCAGGGTACATGCCTGGGTTGCAGGCCATAACCCCTAGCAACCGCATATTGATGTTTCTCTCTCTTTCTCTCTATCTCCTTCCCTTCCCTCTCTAAAAATAAATGAATAAAATCTTAAAAAAATAGTTAAGATGATGCATTGTATGTCATATACATTTTACCATAATTTAAAAAAATAAGATCAGCTATTATTAGAAATAAAATGCTCCTCTCCAAAAAGTCATCTACTCCTTTATGCAGTATTCTCAGCATTGCAAAGCAAGCTTCTTTACTATCCTGGCAACCCAACCACAGATTGCGACTATAAATGCTGTCTCTCCTCACCAAACCTGGAATTGTTGCACTTGTGAGAAGTTGGGCTATTTCTAAGACAACAGTTTCTTTTTAAGCCTGGACTTAACTCTCCTAATGGGATAAGGGCTGTGTTCAGGCAGCTGAGTTGTGAAAAGCTCTCTGATGTTTCATAACACACCTTCTGACTCCAACAGCACTTTCAGCATTGTATCTAGCTATAAAAGTATCTTGGCAGAAGTTTCCAGTGATTGGCATCCTTTCACAATGTTTGCTCTCCAAAATATTTTTTTAAAGCATCTCTACCCATAAGTGCAACACACAAAAAAATGATGCCTTATGAGTCATAGGACTAGAACACACACTAAGTCTGTGTAATAATCTTTATGTAATTTGCTCCTTAGTCATTGTTGAACCTATTAGATCAATATGCAGCATGTATTTCTTTGAAAATATGGGCCTCTATAAAAACTACCATTGTGAATGGATTGAGCAATAAAAAATTTCACAATTGTCACCAAAATGAAGTTTGAAGAGAAGTAGATTTGTTTGGAAGCCACTCAGGGTGAAATATCAAACAGGATTTCCTCAAGTCTACCATAGGGATTGACTACTTTTAAAATTTATGCATGAAAAAAAAATCATGGTCTATGTGACCAGCTGGGACAAATGCTGAAGTCTCCTAGCAGAGATCAACTTTGCAAAGGAAAAGCAGCATATAGACTCGATAGATAGAACATAGAACTCAACCAACTAGTTTCTTTTCCTAAGCTTGATGTTGGCCATCCTCAACTTATTTTCACACACAAAAATATGGGTATCCATGGCTCTGCCTTGTGTGTAAAGAGGCTCACAAGAAAGGCATGAGTTCTCTGGTGAGCACACACAGTAAGAAAATTAGGAACTCTTGGGTTTTTTGCTTGCAGAGAATGGGGACAGAAGTTAATGCTGCTTCCAAATCTAACCTGATTTATTCCAAGTTCTTTAACAGTATAAATAAATGAAGAGAGTTGAGCCTCACAAAGCAAAGTAGGACTCTATTAGAAAGGTCCTAGAAGAACTTGAGAGAACCAGGCATTGTCATCCACACAATATACACACACACTCAGGCAAATACACACTCAGACACAACACATACACTCAGACACAAAATACATATACTCGGGCACAATACACACACAATCAGACACACCATACACACATTCAGACACATAATACACACATTCAGATATATAATACTCAGGCCAATACACAGTTCAGACACAATTCACACTCAGACACATAATATACACACTCACTCATTCATACCTCACGCACATACACTCACACTCATACGCATATATACACTTACACATACAAACACTTACACATATTCACACATGCTCACACACTCAAATTCACATGTACATCCTTCATTGTCAGCTGTTCTGCCCAGGTTGGTAAGTACAAGACAGAGGCACCACCCTGCCTCCCTCTGGAACCCAGCACAGACAGGAACTGCCAATGACATCGTCCTTACCCTTCAAGTCCAGACTTGCTTTTCTGCCCCTCTCAGACCTTCAGACAGTCCATCTAATTGGCAGTTGAACTGGAACCTGTGTGGTCTCCCTGATTGAAGCTTCTTCCTTCTTGAATCCAGAAATCTTAAAAAAGTGAATCAAGAACAAATTGAATTTCATATAATGGAATATAATTATTTTTTGGCCCATGTGGCTAGAAGAGAAAGATATATTACTGCAAAGGATAGGTCACAAGTCTTCTTAAATGCCAACCTAATTTTTTAATGGCTTACTATTTGATGATGACATTATTCTGAAATGTCTCCAAAGGTGGACATGAGATAGGAATGTTCTCCTAGGGGCTCTGACTTGGGGCATGATCTGTATGGGTTGATCTAGACTTTGCATCTGTTATCCCTAGAATTTGATGAGCTGCATGGACACATGGACTGAATTCTAAATGTACAGCATGAAATGAAGTGACTTTGGCACTCCAGAGGTATCCAGCTTCCTAAATCTCTCTCCCTCCTTCAAGAAGAAAGGAAGTCATGTTATTTAATTAAGTTTATTAAGCAGAATTGTTACTATTGAATTAAACTAAAAATTTTTGAATATCTCTCCTTTCTTTTCTCTATTCTGTGTGGGTGAGTGTGTGTGTATATGTGAGGGGGTGGGGGGGACAGTGTGTGGGTGTGTATATCTGTGGCCATGGGGTGGATGAGCATATATGTTTTTTTCAAGGAAAGAAAAGGGAGGACAGGAATCTTTTGGTTGAGTTGGTGTTGTAGAAATTAAAAATACAGGTATATTTATCTAACTTCCATCAGCAGTGCCTTAAAGCCTCAGGGGCTACTTAGTCCTTTTATCCATTAAGTGGTCAATTTAAACAAATGGTTAATAAGGCCAAGGGCCTAGATAGGACAAAGAGTACTGAGAGAAAATCAGAATTTCCCAGTGAAGCATTTCGTATCAAATACTTTAAGAAGCATCATCTACAAGTCCCTTTACCAGTGCATCCCAGAAACAGGACATACCCCAAATTTATCCTTGATGTGAGACAGTGAGCCAGGACATCTTGCTAGTTCCTCACCAGGAGTAGAAAGGTGGATGAACACATGATGTGGAGAAGAAGAACAGTGATCTGCACACACATATATATATATAGTTAGTAGATCAAAGGTAGGAGAGATTGAGTGACTACAGGAGAGCAGGATGGGCTGCACTGGTGCCATGAAGGTCACCCAAACCCTTCCCTTCTCATTTCAGAGAACCTGCCAAAATCAACCCCACTACCTGTCATGCCTTTGCCTTCTCATGTCACTGCCAGCTCTGCACTTAAGTAAAAACACTTCAATTAATATAATATAAAAAACAGATGTACTTATCAAGTGTAATTTAAAGTATACTAGTTGAAAGTTAATCAGAGGAGGGCTTGGTAAAATACCCTAGGGTGTTCAGTTTCACAACAAACATTGCGGGCAGTGTCCCAGCCCTTTGAACCTTCCTCCTCCAAATGAACTCAGGTTTTCACCCATCATTCAAGACTGGGCTAGCACAGGAATAAGTGACCTTCTCATGAGTCCTTCCCAAAAACCTCTCCTCATCTGAGCTCCATCAGAGCCCCACTTTTCTAGTACTGACCACATACGAGTAGCATTGTAACTATTGGTTAATTGCCATGCTTCTCTGGAATTTGGAGTTCTTTGGAAAAAGGAATGTCTCATCTTTGTACCAACAGTTCAGTTCCTGATATTAGACAATCTAGGAAAATGATGCTGAGTATTGATCTGAATATAGATCTGACTCAATCTATCAAGTATTTGTTGAAGATCTATCTTCAGCCCCCAAAAGGAAAGATACCATGGGAAATGAAGAATAAGTAGAAGATATGCTTGCTTTCTCTAAATAACTGATATTTTTGTTGGAAAGATGTGCTAGGAAGGCAAAGTAAACACTATAGACAAGTTTCTAAAATAACCCATAGGAAAGGAAGGGGAACTTTAAAAGTTGGGGAAACTCCATTGAAGACAGATGAAGGCCTTAAGCACTGGAGATGTAAAAGAGGGACTTGAATTGAGAGGGAAAGTGACGGGGAAGGAATTCCATGTGTGGGAAGGGACAGCCAACCCCAAGGATGTAAGCTTGGTCTTTAAGTAGTCTATCCTGTGTTAAAACACTTGCTGCACCTCTTTGCTAACTATGTGATCTTGGGTAAGTTCCGCACAAGTCCTCTGCTTCAGTTTTCTCTGTAAAATTTGGGAATGATCAAATTGTGTAAGGATTAAATGGGATAATGCATGGAAAACCTTTTGCCTGTTGCAGTCCAAAAGCTCTCTTCAGTATTAACTCTTAGCATGAACCAAGCAGGAATGGGCCCAGCCTGCTCATAGGACAGGAAAACCAGTTCTGTGAGTACTGGTACTCCTTGAGAATTGTGTGAACATTGGCTTAGAGCAACGATTTTCAACTGGTGTGCCACAAGAATTTTTAAAACATTGCAGTACCTGACTGTTTAGTCGGGGGCACTGGAATCTTTCCCCTTAAACTGTCAAATGAAAAATGACAACAGCCAACACAACAATAGCTGTCCAGTATAAATGAATAAAAATTATAACCTATTTTTGTCAGATCAGCAAAAAATATATTTTTAGTGTGCTGCTGAATTTTAGTGATCAGTTTATGTGTGCCATGAGTTGAAAATCACTGGCTTAGAAAAATGTAGTGGGCCTGGGTTATGGAGGGCTTTGAAAACCAGCCAAGGAACTTGAACATGATATGGGAAGAAACAGGAAGCCCCAGGCTGCCCCTGACTTCACTGAGGATAATGAGCAGAACCTGTGATCCTGGTCCTGAATCTCCTCATCTCACTGCTGACTAGAACACTGGCTACCTAATAGGGCTTCTAGTAAATTAAACCTTCTGGAGTGCTCTATTCTGTGGGGGGTTTTCCCATTAACATGGAGTGCCTAAAATGGGTTAAAACAAACAAAAAAATCTCTCCTCCTCTTACTCTGGCTAGTGTGTCTCAGTGTATTGAGTGCTAGCCTGTGAACCAAAGGGTCACTGGTTCGATTCCCAGGCAGGGCACATGCCTAGGTTGCAGGCCAGGTCCCCAGCAGGGGCAACCATGCATTGATGTTTCCCTCTCTTTCTTTCTCCCTTCCCTTCCCTAAAAATAAATAAATAAAATCTTTTTAAAAAGCCTATTCCTATCTCTAACTTTCTTGGACTTCAAAACCTCAGTTCAGGAAACATAGCCCTGTGCTTCTTAATTTGCCATCTTCAAAACATAAATGATCCAGCACCTCCCCAGGGTATTAAGAGGATGAGCATCCATCCAACCTACTGAAAACCATAATACCTATCACCCTAGAAAGGCTGAGCCTGTTCATATCCTGCTGCCCCTGAAATCCATGCCATTCTGGATTTTCCTCCTTTGGGTTTTTTTATTTTTTATTTTTTAGTTTATTTGATTTTTCTAAATATATTTTATTAATTATGCTATTAAAGTTGTCCCACTTGTTCTCCCTTTATTCTCCTCTGCCCTGTGCCCTCTCCGACCATCATTTCCCTACCTTAGTTCATGTCCATGGGTCATACATATAAATTCTTTGGCTTCTCCATTTCCTATAATTTTCTTAACCTTTCCCTGTCTATTTTATACCTACCATTCATACTTCTTAATCCCTGTACCTTTTCCCTCATTCTCCCTCTCCCCCTCCCCAATGATAACTTTCCATGTGATCTCCATTTCTGCAATTCTGTTCCTGTTCTAGTTTTTGCTTAGTTTGCTTTTGTTTGTGTGTTTAGGTTCAGTTGTTGATAGTTGTGAGCTTGTTGTCAGTTGTTGATAGTTGTAAACTTGTCTCATATTGTTGATCTTCTTCTTTTTTCTTGGGTATTAACATTTAACATTCCATATACTAAAGGCTTGGGGCTTGGTGATGATGAACTCCTTTAACTCAACCTTACCTGGGAAGCATTTTATCTACCTTTCCATTCTAAATGATAGCTTTGCTGGATAGAGTAATCTTAGATGTAGGCCCTTGCCTTTCATGACTTTGAGTACTTCCTTCCAGCCTCTTCTTGCCTGTAAAGTTTCTTTTGAGAAATCAGCTGACAGTCTTATGGGACCTCCTTTGCAGGTAACTGTCTCCCTTTCTCCTGCTACTTTTAAGATTCTCTCTTTATCTTTAATGTTGGGTAAATTAATTATGATGTGCCTTGGTGTGTGCTTCCTTGGGTCCAATTTCTTTGGGACTCTTTGAGCTTCCTGGACTTCCTGGAAGTCTATTTCCTTTGCCAGATTGGGGAAGTTCTCCTTCATTATTGGTTCAAATAAGCTTTCAATTTCTTCCTCTTGCTCTTCTCCTTCTGGCAGCCCTATGATTTGGATGTTGGAATGTTTAAAGTTGTCCGGGAGGTTCCTAAGTGTCTCCTCATTTTTTGGGATTCTCGTTTCTTCATTCTGTTCTGGTTGAATGTTATTTCTTCCTTCTGCTCCAAATTGTTGATTTGAGTCCCAGTTTCCTTCCCTTCACTGTTCATTCCTTGTGCATTTTCCTTTATTTCACTTTTCATAGCCTTCACTTCTTCCTCTATTTTGCAACCATACTCAACCATTTCTGTCAGCATCCTGATTAGCCCTGTTTTGAACTCTGCATCTGATAGGCTGGCTACCTCTTCATTGCTTAGTTTTATTTTGGAGCCTTGATCTGTTCTTTCATTTGGGCCATAATTTTTCATCTCAGGGTACCTGTTATGCAGTAAGGGGCGGAGCCTTATGTATTCACTAGGGTGGGGCAACCCATGCTGTATGTGGGGGAGGGAGCTGAGAGGGAACACTGGCGCTTGCTCAGCTCTCAGCCTGCTTTCAGTCACTTTCCCTGCTTCTCACATGCAAATTTGGCCTTTCTAGTGCTGATTCCCAGGTGTGTGGTACATTCTAGAACCCTGTAGGTCTCTCCAACAAACCCTCCTACGAGGCTGGGAGTTTCTCCTGCCACTATAACCCCCATGGTTTTTTACAGTCAGAGGTGTTAAAGCTGTATTTCCCTGCACTGAAACCCTGGGTGGCACTGTCTCTCTAGATCCCCAGTTGTTCCTCCCAGTTTATCAGCATGTAAATATGGTACCCCCCACCCCGTCCTCTATCCACTGCCTTTCCCTGAGTCCTCTCCATCTGCACTGCCCTTATCCATTCCTCCTACCAGTATGGATGTGTCTTCTTTTACTCCTTGGTTGTTGGACTCCCATACAGTTCAACTTTCTGGCAGTTCTGGTTGTTTTTTGGTTTTAAATTTGTTGCTATCCTTTTTTGTTGTTGTTCAAGCAGGCAAAGTGTATCTACCTACACCTCCCTCTTGGCCAGAAGTCTGCTTGGATTTTCATCCTTTTGCCTTTCATGTATCTGATTATCCTTTACAGAGGGAAGGGTTTTCCATTCAACACATTTGTGCAAAGAGTTCTTTTCTCTCTCTGTTCCCCTCAATACTTTGCATTTGTTCCAATCTCCATGCTTCTTTCAAATCATGGAAACTAAAATACTGTCTGTCACTGGCTCCCAAAAGGTTTTGTTTATATTCTACCAGCAACAATAGTATGCTGAAACCAGCTGACACCACGCCACTAGAGCTGTTTGGTATTTTCAAGCGTCTATGAACTGAATGTGAAACAATTGCTAATTTGAAATTGCAGGAGTATTTACACTTTGGAAATTGGCACATGCTGTAAAGTGGGGCTGATCTATCATTTTGTTAATTCTCTCGACATAAGAAAGCTATAGGGAATGTTAATACTATAGATTAAACTTTAAAATATGGTAACTTAGGCATTACATTGTGAGTAGGGCAACACAAAAAAAGAAACTATTACTTCAATATTTGAAAACTACTGTTTGATTCAATGAAAAAGTGGATCACATCCTGTCTTCATTGTTTTCACTTTCATCGCACTTGCTAATGGTAAAAGAAAAAAAATCAGCCAACATTCTTATTGGAAACTCATTCTGAAAGCCAGCACTGCACCCATCATCACCATCCATAGCACAGAATTCCCTGGGGAGGGAATGCATTTGAGAATTTTATTCCCACGAAGCCCAAGCTTGCCAGCCCTCCTTAGCCT